TTAAAGGTACTACACATTAAGAATATTATACTAAATTAAACAACTTTTATTTGTTTATTTTCACTCATGAATTTCTCATTGCAGGGACTAACTCTTCATCCGCCAACATTCAAATCGAGAATAGATCTAAATATAGGAACGGCCTAATAAAAATGGAAGAATTTCGCCAAGCTTTAATTAACAGAATAAATACATCATTAGATACACATCGAGTGCAACAATGTTGAATACATATCAGGTGTATATATATCTAGTTAAGACTTCATGTATCTGAGTTAAAAATATATGTATCTATGAAAAATAATTTCAAATGCTAAAATAAAGGGATTTTTTTTGAAATATTTTACTTTTTTCGGATTAATGATAAGACATATACTACACACTCATGATTTATTCCTAAATTTGTGTGTTTCAATTACATTCCATATTTAGATACACATAATTATATGTATATGCTTACTATGTATCCGAGATACATATTTTTGAATATAATGTATGAAACTGATACTTGATACATCAAATTAATACTAGATACATATATAAAGACATATAAAATTAAAATTAGATCATATAAACAGATACATGAAATTAATATTAGGTCATATAAATAGATACGTTAAGTTAATACTAGACACATATAATAAATACACAAAATTAATACTAGTTACTTCTATAATACATATGAATGTATTTATATGATTCTTATGTATCTAAATGTTTAGTTTGTTGGATATATCATATATTGATAATAGATACATCAAATTAATAAATTTATCATTTTAAAAGTAATAAAATGAAATTAATCAAGTTAATGACCAAGATATACATATTTTTGTTTTTATTAATAATATTAATGAATTTATTATTTCAAAGAATAATAAAATAAAATAAATTAAACATATATACACTCCTTGATTTCCGCCTTATATTAAGAGATTTGATTAATTTAAATTTCTAGAATTAATTGTCCATCTATTATGAAAATTCTCAATTACTCCTCTAATTAAGGAAATTAGTTACAATCAATTAATTTAAACAGATAAAATATGTATCTCGATTTTAAAATTTGATAAATATATATATCTCGCAAATTTAAACTCATGCATCCTAATCATGAAATATGGTAAAGAAAGTAATATTTAAAACTATCGAAAAAGTTATTGATTCATCCAAACCAAATCTAGGAAGATTCTACGAAAAAAGCTATCGATTCATCCAAACCAAGCCTAGGAAACTGCCTTTTACTCTTCGGCTCTGGTGTAGGACCCACGTGCGGCGTCCATTTATGCTGAAAACCAAAGGTGGCGAGGCGGCGATTAATCTCGATTGTGCCGACACGTCGCCGTTATGCCCCACGCCTCCCACGTGCTCTCTTGTACCTCTTTTTGTTCCTACCCCCATTTCCTTTCTCACACGCACATGAACGCGCGTGTTGACACACACTTTATATATTCTAGATTTAATAAAAAAAGAGTTTCTAGAAATTGCTAGAGTTAAAAAGAAATTTCAGATGGGGTAAACAAATATCCTCTCTTCATAAACAAAAAATTATTATTTTTTCAGCCCAAAATATTTGAAATAATCTTTTAGTTAAATTATAATGAGAAAAGATCGCAATCATATTTCTAGTATTGTTTTTAAATATTTAATTTCTATTATAATTAAACTTTAGAAATTAATTTAAATAATTTTTCGAAAAATTAAAATATAAGACGTAAAAATTACTAGTGGTTGACGAGTTATCTTTCAAGAACTTCGAATTTTGCAAAAAGCATCTTTTTGCCGACCGAATATGGTATTGTTGGATTCTAATTAGGTAGATTTAAAAAGGAGAAATGAATCTAAAATTCAAATTTAAAATTTATTGTTTTTTTTATAGCATATCAATAATATATTTACCCTAAACTTGGAAAAATTCTTTTGGCCAGAAAATTTAATCAGAATGATATTTTACCTATGTTATTTTTATCTTTTTGAACATTTTTACACTCTTAACTTTAATACTTTTTAATTAAAAATGAAAAAAAGATCAATTTATTTTAAAATAAAAATATATAATAAATTTTTAAAATTTTTCTGATCATTTAGCATTACCCTTTAAACTTTACTCGCATCCAACAATATATTTCAGAGTTAATATGGCCATCGTTAAAACTCATGGACTTAATACTTGGAGAATCATTGTGTCATTATCATCCTTTTGTGTTTTATGGATACAACAGCTACATGTTTCTCTTTATGCGTTTGTCCAAACGATTGGATGACAAAATAAATAGTTTGTCCAATTAATATAATATTTAATGTATGATTTTATTTGCACGTTAACACATATTTCTCAATAAAATTAATGAAAAACCCACAAAAGAAAAAGGAAAGAAACAATATTAACTACTTATAAGAGTAATATTAGCTATGGGGCATTATAATTTTCTTGGTTAAGGTCAGATAAAGAGAGTAATAATTTCACGTCGTTAAGTTTATTATATCAATTTCTTTTAAATTTCTAAAATTTGAGACATAATGAGAAAAGGCGAAATGGTCTGGTGGACCCTTATACTTGTATCAGTTTGTATTATAAACCCTTCTACTTACCCCTTTGTCATCTAGACCCTTAAACTCAATAAAACACAATTTAACAAATCCCTCTGACCATTGACCAGACTTATGTGTCATTAAATGTCTGAATTGGCAAAAGTGTGTAACTACACACGCCTATTAAGGCGAGTGAGGAGCATTTCTAGTTAAAAAAATATTTAAAATTATAAAAGAAATTTTTTTTTCAAAACAATTAATTAAAAATATTGTCTTCTTCACCCCTTACTCCTCCTTTTCAGCCATATCCTTCCCTGCCCAACCCCTTTTTCTTTCTTTTCACAATCTATTTTCATCTATTTAGATTATCCTGGCACCTTCTTGAGTCCACCAATTTACCGAGAGAAAGAGAGCGGCGCCGGTGGTGCTCGCCGGACACCACTGATACACAGTGAAGGGAGAGAGAGGTGTGGCTGGTCAACAGAGAGGAGAATGAGGTGGGTGAGGGTGTAAAGATCTAATCATGGCAGCAAAGATGGTAATGGTGTGCGGCGAAGATGAAGGCGAAAATGGTAATGGTGTTTGGCTAGATCTGGTGTAATGGCTTAGGTTGTTGATTTTGTGGAGGTTGGAAGAGGAAAAGAAAAATGGTGATGACGTGGGAGAGATTAAAGCAGAAGGAATACAAGTGGATTCGCCAATAAAAATGGCGATGGCGGCGACGGCTTGGGACTGAAACAGTGGGAATGGAGAAAATGTATTGGTTTTTTTTTTCACAACAAAATGTATTGGGTTTTACTTTAAAGAATATAATTAAATTTTTATTATTTTACCTTTAATTAAAGAATTTTGATTAATAATTTTAAAAATAATTATGATATGACATTAATATATCTGATGTGGATATGCCATGTCATTTATATAAAGGAGAGTGAGCTACACACATGGTTGGAGGGGTTTAAAAGACTCATTTTGATTGAGTTTAATGGTTCAATTGACAAACGAGTAAGTAGAAGGATTCACAATACAAACTTATACAAGTATAAGAGTCCAGCAGACCATTTCGCCGTGAGGAAATTATAATAATATTCAAGATAATGATTTTGACAAAGAGTTCACAAAAGATAATACTTTTTTTTATCTCAAATTATATAATAACGTTCGAGTAAGTATGAAGTTTTTGAAAAGATTTATTTTTTTAAAATAAGTCATAAATTATTATATTATAAAATAAAATAGTTTAATATCAATAATAAGAGTCAGGGTAATATTTTGAATAAACGATGAACTATAATATGAAACGCTAATAGATGATTCCTCACCAACCATTTTCTTTACTGTCGTCTGTCCAGCTAGTTAGCTCCTGATGGCCGCCGCATGGCGCACCCATATAATAAGATGAAAAAGGTTTTTTATTTATTTTTATGTATTGCAGAAATTCCGGCGGCGAAGGATGTGGGGCCGAGGCGACAGAGTTACAAAGTCTAAGAAGGTGGGACCTATAATCCCTCTGTCTCCTGCTTCTTACCAAGTAATTATCCGCTCCCCCACCAAATGATTCTCTTGCTTTTTATTTTAAAATAAAAAAATGAAAAAGATGGACGGCAGGCACAAATAGTACACGTGCCGTCCAACTTTAACACGACATGTACCCTTCCCACACGGAATTCCCAATTTCATATTCGGATAAGGCGCAATGTACTCTCTGCTCCGTCGGTCATTTATTATAACTAATTCATTAATTATTAATCACTTTTAACAATATTTATTTGTAAGAAAAGTGCTAAATGGTCATAATTCTGGTCAAAAAGATTTTTTCCTATTTTAAAACCAACTTTCTTTCCTAAATTTATTTATTTTCTAGAGATCCAACTTCTATTCGGACTGATATTTTAAGATATACAATTAGTTGTAAATTTTTTTTTTCTTTCTTGCTGGTAGATTTGTGGAGTATAATTGACACGTGTTACAACGGCGCTTTCAAATCTACTCTTGAACATAACATATCTTAATCTAAAAAAAAAAGGAACTATTTTTTGCATTTATTAAAAATTTTCTCAGTCTTACAGCTGGGCAAACACCACCTAAAAACGAATCACATTTACTTTGACATTGCAACCAAAAACAATGTATCTAGATCTGAGTTGAATTATATTTCCAATTTTACTCTGTTACAAAACAGTAGTAGATTACGACTCTTTGATTTTATTCTAGATTTGGAATCGATTTGGCCGGCAATTAGAAATCTTTTGAGAAATGAGAGAAATTGTTTAAAGAGGATTCTTATCCATCATTATTTGGCTTCAATTTAATAAATAATTAATTAATTAAAAAATCTCAGAACTTTGAAAAAATGAACTTCAATATTACTAACGTCGCAGCATCTAAGAGAAACAAAAACTTAAAAGATGAACAAAGCGGATAAGAGAAGTTAGCCTATAGATTCAAGCGACCAGCACGAATATAGGAAGGAGAAAACATGGATTTTCTCATTAATCAAAAGGATTTAAGAGTTACAATTGGTAGAAACATCATAACAACACGTTTCAACTGCCAAAAAAAAAACGAACAGTTCTTTTAAACGTATATACAAAAATCAGCCATTAGTTCTGTCACTCTCTTTCACAAAATTAGGTTATCGTCGTCATCAAATTAAACTTCCATGGGAGGCGCAAGGTTAAGATCAAGATCAAGTCCTTTTTTCCCATAACGATTCTCTTCCACAACGGAAGACGAATCCGACACACTAGAAACAACTCCGGCACCGACACCGGCGAACTCCATCGTCGCCGGCACAACCTGGTACGGCCTGCTAACAACTCCCGGTCTCCACATAGAATCAAACAGCAAAACCGGCTGACCGTTCGGCAGTACCGCCACCGTCGGCTGCTGATGGAAAATCGGGTAGCCGACACCTCCACGTCCACCACCTTCAGCAACGGCGCCAAGACGGCGCGTGAGATCCAACTCTAGCGGCGCGTGTGGCGTATGAGGCGCGTGAACAACAGTTTCTCCGCTAGATGACTCGACGGTGCTGCTTCCACAAGGGCTCTGATTATTACTATTAATATTAATCTCCGCCGGAAAGGGGAAATTCGTCTTAGCTTTAGGTCCACGAAACTCTCTAGCGGCGGTATCGTAAGCCTTCGCCGCTTCCTCCGCCGTATCAAAAGTACCCAACCAGACCCGACTCTTCTTACCCGGGTCACGAATCTCAGCAGCGTAACGACCCCATGGCCTCTTCCTTACACCTCTGTAATGAACCTCCTTAACTCCATTACTCACCTTCACATTACCTCCTTTCACAGCTTTATCTTTCACAGCCATATTTTTGTTTGTGTGTTGCGAATTTTCTGTGTGTTAAAAATATGAATGAAGAGTATGCGGTTTATATAATGGAAGAAAGAGCATAGATGATAAAAAAGAAGTAGGGCGCGGTCAACGAGGGATTTGACTGGAAGGCGCCGCCCAAGCAGGTTATGTAGAGTGTGTGTAATAATTGAGAAATGGAGAGGGTTACGTGGCACGCGGCCGTTTACGTAGACAAAAGAGGTTTAGAGATGTTGATTGCCCGGCCCTGCCGGCTTTAGATTTCTTATTATTTTTTAAATTTAGACGGCCGTTTTATTAGGAGGAGTGAGGTTGGTTTGTTGTTGTTGTGGTGTGGTGTGGTACTCTTTGTTTATTTTCTACTCCACGCTTGTCATGGACACGTGTAACCTACTGTTTTGTAATACTACTTGCGTTATTTTGTGCCCAAAGATTTATTTACATTTTCCTTTAAAAAAAAATACAATTAGATAAAAGGAATCACACACAAATTTTATTCCTAATTTGAGAAAAATGGTTTAATATGAAAATGTGTTCATTCACTCTTTTCCTAACTAATTTGTAGAATTATATATTGTTGTTGTTTTTTTCCTCTTCATGTTTTAGTATGATTTTTTCAGTGCAACTTTTTCTATTTAATGTGTTTTCATCCAAATTAAAAAAAGTCTCTACTTTTATAAGATAGGTATAAAATCATTAATTTTATTTGTGAAGTTGAGAATATCATTAATTAATAAAAAATGTGCTCTATTTAATAACTTAATTTTTTACATTAGATTATTACACACTTTCATCTTGGTAACACAGGAGACAAAGGTTCTGAAATCAAATTTCACCACCACTCAAAATAAATAAATAAATCTTAATGCTAAATATATGGAGTATTATTGTATGATTTCAAAATTAATTTAATTTTTATTGGAGCGTGGATGGCAAATGCCAAAGGGTAAAGGAGTAAATTTATTTTTGTAGCTTGGAATTAGATGACGACCATTTCAAATAGAGAGCGTCTAGACAGTACTTATAAGAAAAGAAATACAGTACATATATACGGCAGCGCCACATTTCACGTGCTAATCGCCGCTAACATCACACGATACTATACAGCTGTCGTTATATAGCAATGATTTTAAATATACTATATTTTAAAGAAAAAACGTATTGAAAATATCCTTAAACTCAACGTGAATTATAAAATTTCATCTCTAAATTATTGATAGTCATAGACGCTCCTCTTTATTTGACTAACTGAATTTAGATATAATCTTTAATCCCATGATCCTACGAGAATTTGAGACTATTTAGTATGTCATGTTGCATATCAGGGTGTAGCTAAAAAAATGTCAATAATTTAAAAACAAAAATTAATAATTTACTTTCAAATTTAAATGTATTTTCACTTGAAATATTTTTTAAGCTTACATATAATTTTTAAAATTTAATACATCGAACTGTTTTTTCTTCCGTCAAATTAAACCAATTTGTATGAGTAGCATTTGAGAGGGACAGATGGATGAGGGCACTGTGTTCAGCAGACACGCGTCCTTTTTCGGCGCTCTACGCGTAAAGAAGGTCCCTCATGTCTCTATGCGGCTTGACAAAGTAAACTCTTGTTTTTATTTGTTTTTTTTAATTCAAATTGAAGTAAACAGCTGTTGTTGAGTTAGTTGAATTATACTATACTATACATTCTGACTGGTTATGCTTTGTTGCACACTTGTTTTGCACTTCACTTGTCATTTCCTCCTTTACCAATAAGAACAAATCAAGTCTACTATTGTAGTAGTAATTCAAATTATCATAACATATTGATTCAATCCTTCAAAAAATAAATTTGATCCTTCATAATACACATATAATGGATATCATAGGCTGACATGATACCATAATGATAGGTTGATTCATTCAAAGAATAAATTATAGAACAAATACAATAAATAGCATTTAAATTTAGTTTTAGTACTTTAATTTTTTATATCATTTTTAGAAAGCCTTATTTATAAAAAAAAGTTACAAAATAGTACTCTCTTTGTTCCTTTAATAGTCATGGTTTACTTTTAAAGTCAGATGATAAGAACTTTGACTAACATTTTATAATGTATTTTTTCATTATGTTGATTTGTAAGTAATTTGCAATTTAAAGTACTTTTTGTATTGTTTTTGAATATTTAAATTTTTTGTTCAAAAGATCGAATTAATGTAATCTAATTTAACTTTGAAAATTAGTCAAGATAACTTTCGAAAAACGCAACATAACAACTAACCTAAAAAAAACCGTGAAAATAGTTCGGAGGACTTTGGCAAACTACGGGTCGATGGGCCATTTAATCAGGATGGGCCCAATTGGGTTCGGGGATATGGGCTTCCCCCAAACACAATCAATAAGCCCTAATCTAAACTGAAGATCGACTACAGATCACAGACTCAACAATTGGGCCTGAATCCTGATTAATGTTTTATGCAACTGTTTAGCGAATGGTTGAGAATTGAATCTTCACCAATAAATTAGAAGTTTATGTAGCCAATTAATTAGAATTATTAAAATTTTCTCATGAAAACCTAATATTAATTACTTTATTTACTTTTTTTAAAATGGAATCTCAGTCTTTGATAATTCTCTTGCAAAATAATATTTAGAATTTGAGGGTACTTTTTCTAAATATGATTTGTAACCTCTAAAAGTAGCAAAATCACTCAACTCAACTAATATATCTATATCATGTAATCATTTTTTTCCCCTAAAGATCAATATCTCAAAATAGATAGTCACATAATATCATAGATTAGATCTCATGCACAAGCATATTGTTATGAATATTTCTTTACTTTATTTTTAAAAAATTGAAGTTGGAGTAAAAGATCAAGTTGTGTTTGATCATAATTTTACAAATAATATTTGGTTGTTTAAACATACTTTTCCTAAAATATATGAAATATAATTTAAATGAGATCATTTTTGTAAAATTTGAAAATATATATATAATCAAAAATAAGAAAAATAAAATTAGGATATAAGTGTTTCCACATTTCAAATACAATTTCAGATTATATTTAAGAACTTTACGTTTGAATGCAAATATATATATATATATATATATAAAGCTGAATCTAGACAATCTAATGTAGCACCTCTCTATGGTCAGCATATCTATTTATCTTTTATCTCCTTTTTTCTTGAATTTTTCATCTTTCTTTGTATTTAAATGCATTACCTAATTAATCATGTTTCTTTAAAACTTTCGTTACATTAATATACATTTAAGTAAATGAAGATAAAAAGATCAGAAAACTTACATTACACTAATATAAATTTAAGTAAATGGAAGATGAAAAGATAAAAAAAATATTATTTTCCATAATTGTTTATATTTGTTTAGCCTATAAAATAAACATACTTGAGTATTTGTAACCAACAACAATGAAATCATTCACTTTGCCTCTCATTCTTCTTCTAATATTGTGATGATGATGACGGCAACTTATTTGTAACCACCAACAATGAAACCACTCACTTTGCCTCTCATTCTTCTTCTAATATTGTGATGATGATGACGACGATGATGATTATACAGATATCAAATTTCAACGTTGAAATGTCCAACAAATTTCTAGGCTTTGTTTTTTATGAAAATAGAAAGAGAAAGTATTTCATGATTTTTGTAAAGATATTGAAAGGAGAAATGTTATGTAGCTAAAGTTTTCCTTTGAAAGAAAGGTCTTTTTAAAAGAATGTTCATTCCTCCTACAAGGAGATATGTATTGAGAGATATTTTTTTTAATTTGGTTGAAAATTAATAGGAAGAGTGATTATTGCTTCAATGATAAGAAACATTATTTGGAGAAAAATCAATCCATTTATGGAATGCATATCAAATTGGAGGAGAATAAGCAAAAAATCTATTTTGTAATTTAAAAAATGAAAAATTAGTGCTTATATTATTTCTTTTTTATTATTATTTTGTCTTAATTTTCTACGTGCCTTTGATTAATGCTTATTTTATTTTTTCTTATTATTTATTTTTAATTATAGTTTTGTTTTGACATTTTTTCTAATTTTAAAAGAAAAGATGATTATATTTAGTTCATTTCATCATAAATTCTATTAATGTCTTTTACTTTCCCCCTCATATTAATGTTATTTTTATTATTTTCTTAAATTAATTTTTGATTTTTCAATAATCCTTGTGTTATTTATTTTTCCTTCAAATTATAATTTTATATTCATTTAATAATGGATTTGTATATGTCTTCTGCTATGGCATTTTTTAAATATTTTTTTACCAGCTCAACTGAGAAGATTAAAAATTCTTGCAAAAAAATAGTCCTATCAAGCAGCTCTCTACAAAAGTTTGTACCGTGTGAACCCTCCATCATTATTCAGATTTTCATTTTTTTTGACGGGGGGGGGGGGGGGGACTTAATTACAAAAACTCAAAATAGCTTTATATGAATTGTAAATATATTTTTACAGAATTTGATTTATCACTTTAATTCATTTCTTCTGTTAACGATTTATATTTATATGTAATAATAAGTTGAAATAAATGTGATGTGACACTTATCTTACTCTAATATTAATATTTATTAATTTTTATCAATTATTTTGACATATTTTTTAAATATTTTTATTAAAATAATTGATCAGAAATGAAGTTATTCTTCCAAAAAAAAATATGTCTCGATATTTATTTTTAATTTTTGTTATTTTTTCTAATTTTAAAAGACTGAAAATGTACCTTAAAATTTATAAATTTTTTAATTAAATGATCATATTTTATTCCTACCATCCTTACTACTTTTAATTTCTTTTACTTCATTTCCTTAATCTCATCATTAATGTTATTGAATTTATCATTAATGTTATTGAATTTATTGCCTTAAATCACTTTTTTCCTTTCTTTGTTTTTGTTTATTATTTATTTATCCTAGAAATAAGTTATTATCACTTAATAAGAATTTAAATACAAATTTTACAGAATTTGATTTTTTATTTTAATTTGTTTACTAA